TGAGGCATTTTAATTTATAAAAAATGAATAGGAGCACAAATTGATATAAATGTCTTTAAAACTACGTTTATCGTTTTAAAAGAATTGAGTGAAAACTACAAACTATTTCATGTGAACTGAGGTGGATTTGGCTCTCAGTTTCGATTATCATAATATAATATCAACTGTTTCTAATAATAAATTAATTAAAATGTTCAGCCTTAATCTAGATTCCATTTCTGTTTACCTTTTATTTTACAGTGGATGTGTATCTATAAGAGTGCCATCTATAAAACAAACCATGCCAAATGCTCCAAAAACATACCTTGGGGAGGTATACAGCACCATCTTGTAGCAATCAGAGGTTAATGCAGTTCAACGGTGGAAATCAGAGAGCACAAAGCGACAATTGGCAAAGAATTGAAACCTATATTTTGCTGAAAACAGTACAAACACAACGTTTTAAATGTAGAACTTTTTTACATTTTTTTAAAGTGTATATAATTTACTTTTAAAGCTGATGCCTCCCTCATTAAACATTGGACACGGGTGTGTCACTTAAACACTACCTCTATGCTTGTTAGAGATTATGAAGCAGTGTTTTTCTACTTCTTCTTCAGTGCTATACGAAAGTCTTGAGCTACCCCTCATTTCTTGATATCCTCCAGGCTTTTTTGTAATGTTTAAAGTGCTCTTGAGCTATAGTTTTCCAGTTTTCTGAACTTTTAAAAGATTTTCTTTGGAGTTTCTTTCAGTCCAGTCCTTGTATCTGACCATTATCATAAGAATTTTTTTTAAAATTCTTGTTAAACCACTAAACACCAAAACATTCAAGCATTCAAGCATGCGACCCAAGGTATGAACCATACACATAACAGAGAACCAATTTTAAATGATATCTTTGGGCTGCTTGTTACTTGTAGCCTATCACAGAAATTTGTGATAGGCTTGTTCCCATATCTTTAGCAAAATCTATGAAAAATGCCAAAGATGACAGTTTCACTGGCATAAAATAGTATTTTTACACCAAAAACGTTAATCACAAAGCACTACTGACATATTTCAGCATGTTTTGCAGCGTGTCCTTGAAGATATCTGGGGAAACTGGACAAATGGATGACAAAGGAAGAAGTGGCAGACCTAAAAACAAATATCTACAGCAGGTGAACAGTATTTGACCACACCTTTGTGTTTCAAGGGCAAGATATCTCCGCGCTTCCTGCCCATTGATCCTGCGATAACCTCACCTTTTGTTAATCTTCTCATTCCCTCGCTACTACTTAAGATATTCTACATGCTGGAGTCTTATGTGTTGCATTTGTTTTTGATAAAATGTCTTGCTTTAAGTGGCTTACTAGTTAAGGACTAGTGTAGCACTTGACCTTTTTTTAAAAAAACCACAAATCTGTGCTGATGCCGAATGTGTAGAATGTCTTTGACATCAAAAAGACATCTGGGTGGAAACCTGTGTTCATGTAATCTTCACTTCTATCTTCACTTCATCCTAAAATGAGCTCAGGCCCAGAGAAGATAGCATTGTTTCTGGATCTTGTGTACATATGTATATTTTCTTTGCATGCTACAATTTTCTCTTGCACTGAAGAGTGTACAGAGATTTCTGTGGATTCCCTGAACCCTTCTCCTTTACCGTTACTTCTGAAACCCAGTCATGTTACTAATTAAACTAATTAGCGGTGAGATGGTCCACCAGTTGGTTTTTCAGCATAGAAGAAGTTTTCCAGTTTTTTTTAAATTGCCCCTGGCTTTTTTTTAATGAATTCAAATTCAACCAGACCTCCTATTTTTTTAAATCCATTTTAAACATTTCATATACTGTCTCTACTCCTATTTTAATTAGAAATATTCTTTACTTTTTAAACATTCTATTATTTTATCATAAATACATAGAAACACAACATTTAACCTGTAGTCAGCACAGTTGTGTACTGATCATGCCTCGAACTAATGATGTGTTGAAAGCAAACTGCTGCTAATGAGCAGCCTTCAGCACCACAGAAGGGTGGACAGCTCCCCTTCTCTGGATAAGCAGGATTTCAGAGAAGCTCCGCATAAAACTTTAATATATCTAATAAGTAAAGTGATATAAACATGCAGCAGGTGTGAACAACTGAGAGGTCTCAGAGTATACAAAGCCTGTTGATGTGCAACTGTTTCCTTACTATCATATTTTCTGTTGAATGATTTGTTATGAGGATAATTTTAATTTTAATTCAAATCTATTTTATTTATATATTTTATTTATATTTATATTATAGGATAGTCTGATCATAAAGAATTATAATAGTGTAGCCTAGAAGTAATCACTCTGAGTGATCAGCATCACTCTGAGACAGGATGTTTCTAATTTTAGAGATATTGTGTCAATGCAAGTAAGCAGTCTTACATATTTGTTTAATGTGCATTGAAGGACATATCCTGGTCAGAAATGACTCCAAGGTTCCTCAGTGTTACTGGAGGCCAAGGTAATGCCACCCAGAACTGGAATCTAGTTAGATACCATTGTTCTAACATTTTCAGGGCCAAATACACTTACCTCAGTTTTATCTGAATTTAGAAGCAGGAAATTAGAGGCCATCCAGGTCTTTATGTCTTTAAGACATTCCTGCAGTTTAAATAATTGGTGTGTGTTATCTGACTTCATGGATAGCTAGAGTTGGGTATCATCAACATACCCATGAAAATGTATGCTATGCCTCTGAATGATACTGCCTAAGGGAAGCGTGCATAATGTAAACAGAACTGGTTCTAACATGGAGCCCTGTGGAACTACATAATGAACCTTTTTGTGTGAAGAAGACTCCTGTTTACATGAATAAATTGGATTCTATTAGAAAGATGTGATTGAAACAACAGCAGGGCAAAACTTTCAATATCGACAGCGTGCTCTAGACTCTACAATAAGATATATATATATATGACAATAAATCACAGATGTGAACTGTTTGGTGCAAGCAATGGAGATGGATCCACAAAGACAATTTCTGTTGTTTTAAGATCATATTCCTAACAATAGGATGATTTCAACAAAATCATGACATTTTCGAAGGCTATTAATAAACATCAGCACCCTTAATAACAGTGTCAGTCTTAGAAAAATACTAAAGGACTGAAAATGGATGGAAAACTGCCATGTTGGGATTAAACATATTCACTGAGAAAAAGCTTTTGTTCTCTGTAGCGTTACTAAAACAGAGATTTAAAAATCCTTTCTGTTAAAAGAGAAAAATGATTTGGGAACCCTTAGTACTAAATTCTTAACATTCATAGAAATATTGTTTTTACTGTTGCAAAGAACTAAAAAAAATTAAACTGTTATTATCTGTCTATAATAGAAGTTACTTTATGAATTACATTTCATTATTTCTTCATATATTAGAAGATACAATAACAGTTACCTTTTGATAACTGTTTAAAGATAAAGGTTGTATTAATCCCAACAGAGTCAAAATTTTCAGCAAAAATAAAAAACATATATATAGTTTTTCTCTACCTGGATTAGCAATAGGCTAAACACTAACATCATTGTCAGGGCCAGCAGGAGTCTGGTGGAGGAAAGCTGTTTAGAAACTTCACTTGATGCCATTAACTCTGTGAATCCTCTAGATGGCAGTGTATGAATGCGGCCACACGTCAATGGTTTCCATACTGGCCTCCTGTGTTATGTTTTTATACCTGCTGGTGTGGTAGGGATTTCTGTTACATACAGAATAACATAGTTTAAACCTATATAAATACATTTTTCTCCATTAACCCCTCATTTATGTTGCAGTTCCAAAAGTTAGGACTATGCACACCCACTGTCCAAAAACAATTTCAAAGCAAAACTCCCAACTTTGCATTTTGAAACATTAAAGAACAACAGTGACATTTCCACAGAAGGTCAAGAGCTATGCTAACACTTTGATGCTTTATGATGCTTTTAATACAACATGACATTAGCCTGTTGCTTATGTCCCCCGATGACTAATTCATACTAATATATGAGCCACAGATTTTTTCCCTAATTTGTGTGACACTGACCTTTGACCTTGTATGCTATTATCTTTAACCATATGACTTGAGCAGAACTTTCTGAAATCTTTGGCTTCTATAAGCTCTAAAAACTTGATATTTTAAGATATTAATGCAATGTGTGATTTTTTTGTGATGTCATATTGAAAAGATCTAATCAAATACACTGTGTCACTTCTCTGCACAAGTGTTGTGCAGCTGTCTTGATGGCCTTTTGTATGACATATTACGCGATATGGTTCCCTGAATTTTTTCTTCAAGGTCAACTTTGATCTTGGCCATTAACATGAAGGTCAAGGTCAAATGCTTCTTCAGCCTGGGTACTCATGTCGCACAAGGCCAGTATATTGCTGTGAAGTTTGAAGATGATCTATAAAAAACGTTTCTACTGGTTTTCACATTTGGTGTGACCTTGATGTTTCAGCTAAATTAAATCAGCTCGAGCTATTGTTGGTATCTACCGTCACTCAAAGTTTGAAAATGATATCTCAACAACTATGGACAATAGACTGCTGACAAACAGACAGACAGGCCGATTACTTAGAATAATTGTATAATTATAACAGAATAATGTTTTGTCCTCTTGCTGCGTTCTTGTTTGTTTTATTTGATCGTCATCATTGGATCACTGTTTCGTGATTGTTTGACCTGATTGATTTGTTGCTTCTATGAGGCGCTTTGTTTTATGACTTTAGAAACCTTCTGATAATTGCTATGATTCACTTTCTAAGACAAACAGTTTTTGTGTACGAGCCACTGTTTTTTTTTTACATAATTGATTAAGAAGTATTTCCTTCTCATCCCTTGAACACGTTTTTGTGTGTGTGTATGTGTGCTTTGCACACACACACACACACACGCACACTCTCACCCTTGCGCAAACTTTTTTCACCCGCCCTGATTGGTGGCCTCACAGCCACAGAGGGTGGGGAAACCTTGGGATTAATTAGCATACCTGTGCAGTCCGATAAATGCGCCGGCACGCTCACCTGATGCTTCGGAGAGCGTCACACACAGAGAGGAAGAGGGGGACCTTCGTGTGTAGTGTACGGTGCGAGTGAAAGTCACCGTGGAAGTAAAGCTCAGCCAAGCTCTCTCACCTCACCGAGAACCCGATCAGGCTCCGCCGTCTGTGCGTTAAGGCGCACAGCCCAAACTGAGAACTTTACGCTCTCCCTGGAGGATCGTACCACCCCCTCCTCTTTCCTCCGGCTCTCCCTGCTTGACTGTGCCTTGAGGCTTTCCGTAGGCCACTTCTGACTCTTACGCCCGGTTCTGCTGAGTTGTGGCCGGTTCCACCCAGAGCTCCGGGTCACCCATGAGGCTGGAGGCCGCAGCCAGGATGGATCTGTTCAGGAAGCTGTGGAGAGCGAGGAAGCTGATCCTTGTGGTGTTCATTCCGCTGTCCCTGCTTCCCTTACCGCTCATCCACCCTACCAGTGTGAGTACGAGAGAGAGAGTGTGAAAAAATGTGAAGTTTTTATCATTACACGCAGCATATACACGCAACAGAACGCTTACCATAACCAAATGGGTTTCAAAATAAGAGCACGGTAGAGTTTAACTGTATAATTTTCACTATCAATGTATTTGATGGATAGAATATAAAGGTATTAATATTCTATTGGAAATTATTGACATATAAATGCGTCAAATTTATTGAAGTTAATTCGTAGTTCGACATATACACTTTTTTTTAAATGCACAGATGTGAAACATTTAAAGACGAAATGACGAGAAACTACTTTTAAAGCACCAGAAAATCTCTTCAAAGCATTAAATGTGATGGATATACCAGTGCCTATAAGAAATAAATTAAAGATGTATGTTAAAAATAATCAGTATATGCGAACTTAGGTTAAATCAAACATCATGCGCCAATAATTTACTCTTAATAAATACCTAGCAACCATCCGGCACAGCAGTAAACAAGATATCCAGTTGATCTGTGGGTGGTGATGCTGCTGCTCTTGGCCTCAGTGTCCTGATGGGATCTTGGTGTGTGTGTGTGTGTGTGTGTGTGTGTGTGTGTGTGTGTGTGTGTGTGTGTGTGTGTGTGTGTGTGTGTGAGGGAGAGAGAGAAAGGCGCACTGTCCTCCGTTTTGATAATCGCTTGTCTCGAGCTCCCCCGATCATCAGCTGAGCCGTGTGTGGAGAGGAGATGTCGCGACATGTTAATGACCTAAACATCATCGTGCTCCTGAAAAATAAAAAAGTGAAGAGGGAAAAGATGGGAATAAAAGGAGAGAGGTCCGTTCCTCTTTTGCGTGTCTTCCCTCCGAATCTGGGATAGCTCTGTTTTCAGTGTCCTCGGATTAGTGAAATCGTAATGAAAAGCACAAAATTACATGAGCCATGTGCAAGCATTCGCCATTCTGAGACTAAAACCTTAAACTTTTGCTGCTGGGGAGTGAGTTTCATGTATTTTTTAAAAAATATTTGAATATTTGTTTTGTTTGTTTCAGACTTTCTGATTGTGGTGTGGTCTCATATTTACCGAGGCTCAGACCAGTGCATTTCTCTGATTTGCAGAGCCTCTCTGGTTAACGTGGTCACCTGTCAGATTCCATGATATCCAGTAGAAAGCACTTTTTTCCCTCTAGTGTAGGTCATACTGAGAACACCTCAATTGGGATTAGGATTCTTTTTCTCCCGTGACCAGTGAAAGACAGTAGCAATCAGCAAACCAAAATTGAAGCTTTAAAACACCCTATCAGAGCACGTCACTGTATTTATGATGCAAATGGTACACATTAGCTCCAGTTTGTGACTTTAATGTATTACAATCTGAGTCACAGAGGTAACAATCAATTTAAAGGGAGTGAGAATGTGTTGGTTTGAAAGGCCCACGTCATTTCAAAACTCACGGCATGCGCAATGCATTTTCAAAATCCTCAAGGTGTTCTGTGATAAAACAGTCGTAAGAGAGGCGATGCGCTTTAGATCATATTCTGGGACATGGCCATAGTGTTTTCTACACATATATCAATTGTAACTACAGGTGTTTCTCTGTGTTTATTTTAATGTCATTCATATTCAAAGAAAGTGTTATGCTCCACAAGTTGACCGTCAGCCAATAAGAGCGATCGCCAAGGAGCCCTGCTGTTATGTCAGTGGTGGTGGATGTTTGGCATGAGTAAGTGGTGCAGGATGAGGCCAAGAAAGAACAAAAGAACAAAAACTTGACTACAAAGAAAAAGAAAGAAACAACCCAAGCAATTAAGTTATATAATCAACCCACAACCACGCTGGATTTGAGCCCCCACGTGGCTTCCTTACGACACCAGGGACCCCAGACTGTGTCGGGAATGTGACGGGTTCAGAGAAACATTGTGTGTGTGTTTGGAGAGGTCCTGTGTCCAGCTGCAGCTGAACAGGACATCTGTAGGATGCAGTCAGGCCAGGTCAGAGACTGAGGACAGGAACAAAGAAGCAGAGTCAGTGGCAGATAAGCACAGTGCTTATCAGAGGCGCACGTGTGCAGTTTCACAACTTTCCAGAATTTTTGCTGAGTCCAGACAGCTACGTATACACACACGCAAAGAGATGTTCCCTGGCCTTTGGCTTGGCTGCTGTGATGCACACACTGAAAAATTGCTGCTACTGTTAAAAAACTGGCAGTTAATTACGATTTATATTTGGTGAGCCTCTGAATTTTCCTTTAGCAGAAATCTGGCATTTGTGGTTTTTAGCTGTCTTGTCATGTGGATGGATTGCCAATGAATGTACCCTGTAGGACGATAACTGTGGTGATCAGGACAAATATGTGTATGACTCACCTAAGATGGTCTTTTTAGCTGTGATGTGTACTGATGTTCTTTTAAAAATGCTTTTATTGTCAGAGCAATTTGGATAATTAATTTGTTTGACTGATATGTCATCCATTTGTTACCCAGTTCAGGGTAGTGGGGTCTGTAGGTGTGCACTCTATAACTGATGAGATAGCCGAGGTACACCTTGGACAGGTCAAACTCCAGTCTTAGAAAAGGAAGTTTCATCAGTGTTGTCAGTATCAAGTCATTTTTCATGTGAGTATTTTTCCATACAAATGGGCACAGGAGTGAACCGTGTGCATGTTATCTATTGAGCCGTTTAGCCTTCTGCTGATTGACTCAGTGAAAAACGTTTGAGCTGTGATCTAATCTGCCTATCAGACATCCTTAGGTAACTGTCTCTTCTTTTTCTAAACTGAATAATATTCCTGTTCATTTCCCAAGCTGATCACGGATAACAGTTAGTTGACGAGGCAATCAGTGGGCTTCTGTTTAGAGAAAAGCTGACCTATCAGCTGTAAAACACTGAGATTTCAAAGAAAAACATATTTTCTCATCCCAGTAAGCTCACAGTAATTGCTTTGCTCAAAGCTTCTAAAACCACACCGGGCTCCGATGCAAAAGACTCAAGAAGTGTCTAGTGAATAGCTGTAAAGAGAAAACTTTTGCATTCCTCTTTCTTCCTCACAGATCTCACAGGAAAGTAGGAAACAACAAGTCCAGGGCATTGTTACAAACAAATTATGAATCCTTTTGGTGTCCTGATTGTTAAATGCATTTAAATGGTCTAAAGCATGATCTATTTCACTGTTTTCATTAGCACAAAGAGAGTAATAGGATGCACTGTCACTTATGGATGTTTCTTATGACAAACTGCAGCTAAATACCCAGAATATAAAAACTTATATTTTTCTTCTCTGCAGCATCTTGCTTGAGGAAAGATACGATTGTGCCTGAAGGGTCCATTACAGTTTGTTAAGCCGTTTAACATTTTCCCTCTGGTTCTCCAATATCACATTTTACAACAGAAGCAGAAATCAAGTGAACTCTCACCTAGATGGAATACAAAAAACAGCATCTCACACTTTCATGCCTGTCACAGCCGGGGTGGCCGGTCAGTTGTCCACTTTCCCTCAAAAATGGCCCTGCAGGTGGCACTTTCATAAAATATATGTAGGCTGATTTTAATTTTGTCACCACAGAGAGTTGCTAATTTTGTAGTTGAAATGATTTTTAAGATTAATAACTGGTTACATAACCTTCAGAGAAGCCTGCCTTAAATCAGCACAAGCACAGGTTATCTTTCATGTGATGACTTCGGAACCTCGACACGTCTTAGCGTGAAGTCTTTTCAGCACAAAGGTTGAAGTACAATGGCTTTAAAAACAAGCCAAACAAGGAAGCCAAAGAGTAGGATTTGAGGATCTAACTGAAGCTGCAGTTTCTGTGGGGCAACTGTGCTCTGATAAATAGTGACCAATAATCAATCATGGATTACTGCTGATTTGTCTTTTTTGTTTATCTGTCCATTTGTTTGTTCTTTCCGAAGGTCACATTTCTTTTTCTCTTTACATTCTCATCAGTGTGCTTTCCCCCCCGCAAACCAGTAGTCAGACCTTTGGCATGGCTTTAATCCTATCCCCCCCAGGATTAATAAAGCATTCTGATTCTGATCTGGCAGACTTCCAGCACGTCCTCGGTGTGGTGTTGTGTCCGACACAGGCAGGAGCTGTAAAGCTAGCTGTTAAAGTGCAAAAACTCATTATTTGGACACAATGTCTCTCTTTATAATACTGGAATGTTTTCTTAGTGGATTTAAATTGTTGTAATCTTTTCAGTGGCGAAGTTCTCTTTGATTATGAACCCCAAACATCTCATTTGGTCTAATCAGGCAGCTGCACCTAATGCCTGGAAATGCCTCTTAAATCTTTAGGAGCGTTTCCAAAAAGTAAGCACCTGTCTTTAGAGTAAAAACCTGTGTTGTCAACAGCAAATCAAAAACAGAGCAACGTCAGAGCACATTTTATGCTTCTGCTTATTTTCTGTTAGAGTGGTAGATGCTTGTTAAATATGGCCAGTGCTTCATATAATGAGAGCTTTGTATGTGCAAGTAATCCCTGTGAGCCAACAGCTCCGGCTTTAAAATGCTCTAAATGCCCCTTTTGAGACATTTTAACATTTTTGGCTGTCTGTGATATCAGTTAGAGCAGAAATAGGGAGTCGTCTTCACACACTGGGGTTAAGGTTAAGATGTGGAGTTCCACAGGGTTTCGTGCTAGGACCACTTCCGTTTACATTATAGAT